TTTTTTTTTTTGTTTCGTTTACCGAACGACTATAGATTATTATAAAAATCGATTTCATCTTTACCTTTTTCCGTTTTTCCGTTTGTTATATTTTAAGTAAAATAATTTGAAATTTTTATTTTCAACTAACTACTCATATTCTTTCGCATCATTAAATCATTTTCATCGAACCGTTCGTTCACAAAAAAAAAAAAAAAGGAATTTTCGAAAGAGAAGAACAAGAAGAAAAAGAAGAAGAAGAGAATAATCGAAAAGGAAACATTATACAAAAGGAAATGAAAAACTCACGTGGAAATAGTAGAAGAAGAATGATGTCAACTTTTCATTATTTAGGGAGGCGGGGCGAGGAGAGGGAGCAACGTTTTTACCTTTGACGTTAAGTGAGCCGAAAACGAAAAAGGAAAAAGGAAAAAGGGAAAAAAAGGAAACAAAACCTTTTTGATATATATATATATATATACACATGCTAACTTGTGTGGAAATTTTTGATTGAAATCTCCTTATAAAAAAAAAAAAATTTGGAAAATCCTTACTATTATTATTATTATTATTAAATTACCGTGTCAATAAATAAAATAATTAAATAAATTTTATCGTGGAATTAGATTTCACAAAAAAAAATCAAATATTAATAATACTAATAGTAGGAAAATTTAAAAAAAAATTTTTTTTTTTTTCGGTTTTCGTTTGCTTTTGTAAAAGTTTTGTTTCGTTTTGTTTTTTTTGTTTTTGTTTCTAAACATAAAAACAACAACAACAACTTTTGTTTAAATATCTATTTATGTATGTGTGTATACGTACATTAATTTGAAAACCATCAAAACTATCTGCGGTATTTAACCCTCATTTAAGTTAACAAAACAAAATTAAAAGTTTATTTTAACTTTTTTAAATAATAAAAAAAAAATAAAAAAAAAGTTTTTCTTAATTTTTTTAAAACCTTAATTATTATTATTATTACTATTATTATTATTATTTGCCGGGAAAAAACGTAAATAAATAAATAAATAAATAAATAAAGCTTTCGATGATTTTTTTTTATATGATAACAACAACATTCAGTAGTAAAAAAAAAAAAGGAAAAAACTCTCCCTATATACTTACTTACTTCTTCCACGACACGTGAGATTATTTTGATAAGTTGAAAAAGAAAATGACGTCATAACGTTCGTAAACATGACGTCACAAGGAAAAAACGAATTTTTTTAAAAAATTGTTACAAAAGAAACAACCAATCGTGAATTAAAAAACTTATTATAATTTTTTTTCTGGAAAACAAATGCGATAATAATGATTATAATAATAATAATAATAATAATAATATTGGTGACGATCATGATGATAATAATAATAATAATTAAATAATGACAAAACTTTTGACACCCTTTAAAATGACAATGAAAAATTACTAAGGGAAAAAAATAAAAATTAAAATAAAACCTTTTGTTACTTTTTTTTTTTTTTTTGGTAAAACTGATAAGTTAAAAATGATAAGAAAGAACTTACACACACGCACGCACGCACGCACACACGCAAAAGAAAAAAAAGCAGAAGAAAAACCATTTTTTTTTCTTTTTTTGTAAGGTTTACGTAATAAATTTTAAGGTTAAACAAAAGGTAAACCGGTCAAAAGTTTTGTCCAACAACCTTTTTTTTTCCCTCTTAAAGTTCAACTTAAAAAAAAAAAGATTTTACGTATAAATAAAATAAATTTTTTTTTCTTTTATTTTTTTTTTAAAAACGGAAACGGAAACGGAAATAGATGACCGATAATAAAAAAAAAAAAATTTTTTTTTTCAACTCTACATGAATCTTTCAAATTTTTTTTTTTAAATGGATATAAATATAAAAAAAATTTATATTTATCTGTTTCGCGTTTACAAAATAACAGTTAATTATAATGATAATAATAATAATAATAATAATAATAATAATAATAATAATAAGAGTAGCAATAACAATAATTTAAAATTCTCCAGATAAAAATTTACCCAAAAAAAAAAATTAAAATTATATTTCCAAAAACTAAAATATATGTATATAACCCTAACGGGAAAAACGATAATTAATAAAAAATTATTACGTCACACTCGGAAATTTTAGATGACTATATTTAAACGTTATCGTATAATAATCAAAACGGTTTTTATTTACTTTTATTATTAATTTTTTTTCGGGAAGGAGAGAAAATAATTATCGAGACCTTTTACAGCGTGAAAATATAAATGTTTCAATAACGTAATTATTTAAATTATTTTTTATTTGCTCTTGTTATCGTTATTGTTGTTGTTTGTTTTGTTTAAGATTAAAAAAAAAATTGAGAGAGAGAGAAAGAGAGAGAGATAGAGAGAAAGAGTAAAAAATCTTTTTTTTTTTTTTTTATTGATGTTTGTATTGGTTTCAATAACAATTTCAAATGATTTATAATGAAAATTTTACTATTTTTTTATTTTTTTTCAACTTCTATATGTAATTACCAGAGATGAATCAAAAAAAAAAAAAAAAAAAAAAAAAAAAAACTGAGAAACCGCGTAAATCGTTTATAAGTTTTTATATAAAAAAAGTATGCGCGTGCGCGTGTACACGTAATCCACGCAATTCGTAATAATGTTACACGGTATCAACGTAAATAAGTATTATTATTCTTTTGTATTTGTTTTCCGAGTTTAATAACCAAATAAATTGCGAGTTTTTTTTTTCATTTCCCTATATATATATATATTTTTTTTCTTCCTCCCAATATGATTTTACTCCGTTTGGTTGGTACTACTGCCTTTAGGCGGTGTAATCAAGTGCTTTAATAAATTTACATTTTCTTTAAATTTGAACATAGAAAGTCTGGTTGTTGCCCTGGAGGAGGTTAAATTTTTTTCCTTCTTTTTTACTTTTTTCTTGTCTCCCCCTCCCTCCCTCCCCCCCGTTTTATTGAATCCATTCACCACCCTCATTTTTTTTTTTCTTTCATAAAAAGAAAATTCATTTTTATTTTTTTTTTTTCTCAACGGAAAATTGATGGCTCGAGGGTAAATCGTCAACTTGAGTGCAAAATCTAAATAATTGTTTTTTCTCTCTCTCTCTCTCTCTCTTTTTTCTTTTATTTTTCTTTTCTTCCATTCCTCCGAATAATAATTGGTGGAAGAACGAAGAGAAAAATAATAATATTAATAACAAAATTCTCCTCCTTTTTTTTTCTTACGTATGTGACGTCATAAAAAAACGCGATGTCGTTTGTAAAAAAAAAAAAAAACCTCACCTAATATTTCTAACGTGTGTGTTATTTCGCGGGGTTGTAAAGTTCCCAACTGGCACACGTAGTCTCCAGCATCTTGAGTTTGTACGTCTTGTATTTCTAAATTATATCCTTCGACTAATTTTATCCTAGGATCTGGAGTCACTTTTACATTTCCAGCTGAAAGCACCGCGATTCCTCTTTTCCAAACAACCAAATAATTCCCTACAAAAAAATAAAAAATAAATCAAAATTATGGAAAAAAATTAAATTATACCTAATGATTAACATAATTAAATATTATTATTTTTTTTTATAGAAAAATAATTTACTCCCATCGTAATAATAATAATAATAATAATAATAATAATAATAATAATAATAATAATAATAATAATAATTTTTCGTTATTACCCACGAGAGATGTTAAGAAAAAAAAAAGAAAAATTTTTTTTTTTTCCTAAAAAAATTTATTTCATTGTAGTAAAAAAAAAAAAAAAGGAGAAGAAAAGAAAATTACGATTTAATATGTTTTAATAAAATTTTATTAAAAGAATTTACATGTTTTTTTTTTTGTTTTGTTTCTCCAGGGTAAAATAATCTGGAAACCAATTACACAGATTCCTGGACTAATAAACAAGGTTTCCACGTTTTTCACAATTAAAACATGGAGGGAAAAAAACAAAAAAAAAAAAACATTCTTTTGTGTCGTCGGTTGGTTTTTACACTTAATTTGTTTTTTTTTTTTACGTTTACAAAAAAAATGTATTATTATTATTATTATTATCATTATTATCATCATTTCGTTTATAACCGCCATTACGAAAATGCAACAAATATGGAAAAAACATAAGAATTATGAATTATGTTAGAATGAAAATATGAAATATATGAATTATCGTAAAGTGAAATTATTTAAAAAAAAAAAAAAAAAAGTGGAAGAAGAAAAAGATAAAAATTTAATTCAAATAACGAATTTTTTTATTAAATTGTTCGTGTAAATAGTCAAAAAAGAAAATGTCGCGGAGAAAAAACAAAAAAAAAAAAATGTTTTTCTTCTCTTTCGTTTTCTGCGTTTCGGAGTAAAAACAAAACTTTTTTTGTCGGAGTTAAATAATTAAAAAAAAAATTTATCGTGTAATTAGAATGACAAGAAGTTTATAAGTTAAGTTAACTTCGTGATGAAAATATTGAATTAAGATTTAAAAAGGAGGTTTTCTTTTTTCTCTATGATATTTTTAACACGCAACACAATAATCGCATTTAATTTCTTGTTAACAACTTTTTTTTTTTTTCGCGATAAAATCAACAACATCGATTTTTACTGTTTTGGTTTTAAAACTTTTTGCATAAAATTTTTTTTTTATAAACTTCCTCGAATTTTATTTTAATTTTTTTAATGACGAAAGCAGCAGAAGACAATTTTTTTAAAATACACCAAAAAAAAAAATTCGTTTCATTTTATTTATAGATACCTTTCTGTAGAATAGAATACCTTTTACCGAAAAAAAACAAAAGCGGGGAACGCGAGAGGGGGAGGGGAGAGAGAAAGGAGAGGGGAGCATATATAGGAGAGATCGAGTAAAAAATTTACGATTCTTTTTTTTTTTTTTTTTTTTTAAAAAAAATTCCATTTAAAAAAAATTAATTTTTTATTTTTTATTTTGTCAAAATATAAAAAGCGCGACGACGTTGACGCATAAAAAAAAAAAAAATGTCGCACATGTACATAAAAAAAAAAAAAAAACATTCTACGGTTTTCCCCTGTCTTGTTTATTCAATGACATTTCACATGTTCCACTTTTTCTCTTCTTTTTGTCTCTCTATCTCTCTCATTCTTTCTCTCTCTCTCTAAATTAAAGCCTAAAATATTAACGCGTTTTTGAATTTATGACGTCATAGTTTTACAAAACGCCTTGTGCGTGCGTGCATTATCCTAATGAATACGACGTTTAGTTTTTTCTATTTTTTTTTTTTTTTTTTTTTTAAATTTTACTGCCCAATTTTTAAACATTTTTTTTCCATTTTAAATATCCTGCTACCCCATCCTCTCCCCTCCTCCTTCCGCCGTACGTATTCTATTATTTATCTCCATGCTACCGCTTTCACAATATTAAAAAAAAAAATTATTCGCGTTTTTCCTCTTCCTTCCTTCCTTCTTTCCTGCCTCCCTTCTCCTCAAAAAAAATAAAAGGAAAAAAAAACTTATTCGTTTTTTAAACCTAATTACGCCACTGCGTTACCCGTTCAACGTAAAACACGAAAATCCAATTACAATATTAATAATAACAATATTAATAGTAACATTAATTGATGATTGATCTTTCTCTTTCTCTTTCTCTCTCTCTCTATATTTACCGGTCATAAACATATTTATTATTTGCGGAATAGATAGATAACCTTATCACAAAAAAAAAAAAAATTATATTTTTATTCAAAATGGCGGCGGTAAAGTCGGCGTCCGCTGACCAGATAATTAATTGACTCATTTATCAAATTATTAATGGCATAAAATCAATCAGATATTTTAAATGTATGATGATGATGATGATCCCCTTAAAAAAAATTCAATTTTTCATTTATTTATTTAATTATTATCGCCATTATTATTATTATTTTTTTTTAAAAATTAATTAAAAATATCATAAATTTCCTCATTATCATTATTATTATTATAATCACGAATTTAAAAAAAATTTTTTTTTTTTTTTTCAACGTTGAATTTTTTCTTGAAATAATAATTTTATTATCATCATCATCATTTTAAATAAAAGGGGGGGGGAAAAAAAGTTTTTTATCATTTTATTATTATTATTACGTTTAAACGTAAAAAAAATTATATTGTTGGTTGTTTCGTCGTCTGCTTCCGTCTTCTCACAATTGTAAATTAAATAAACCTCATATTATCTTAATAAGAAAAACGCTCATACTTAAACAAAATAATAATAATAATAATAATATCGTTATTACGAACTCGATTTATTTAAAATGAAAGAGAGAGAGAGAGAGGGAGAGAGGGAGAGAGAGGAATGATAGGGGTAAAAAAAGTTATTATAAATAAAGGTCAATGAACTCGATTCGATAACGAGATAAAAAAAGAAAAATTAAAAATAAGTAAACGTGTTTTATATATCATTGGAAATAATTAATTAATTAAAATCGACATCGGGTACGATCGGTAATTTTCGTGAATTGATTCGCGAAGCGGAAAATTTTCAACCAATCGTAATCGAGTATGAATTTAAATATTTAAAACTCGAATAAAAAAAAAAAGAAGAACGTCACTCGTTCGAAAGTTAAACAAGTATTGCACGTGCTTTATTATTTTTTTTCGCGTTATAAAAATTTTCCATTTTTTTATTTATTTATTTTTTTATGAACTTGGAGCGAGCGCGCGAGCATAAAAAAAAATTTATTGAGATTAATAAATAATAAATAAATAAATAAAAATTTGATTATTTCATATTCTAAATCCTAACACGAAAGATGTAAAAAAAAAAAAAAAAAAAACGAACGTTTTACAACGGTAAAAAATAAAATAAAAAGTAAAAGTATTAAAACGATATCTCGAAATATCTCGAAAAAAAAAAGTTTTTAAAACTTTTTTAACATTTTAAATAAAGTCTTAAAAAAAAAAAAAAGGTAAAATTGATAAGAGAGAGAAAGAGAGAGAGAGAGAGGAGAAAGAAAAGAGGAGAAAGAAAAAGAAAATAATTTTAGGGCATTAAATTTAAATTTTTCAAATAGTTTAAAAAAAAGAAAAAAGATCAAAAGAGAATTGCGAGAAAGAAAAAAGAAATAATAATGATAATAATAAAATTTTTTTTT